GTCAGAGCCTGTTCTATTTTGTTTGGTTTATCATCTAACCGAATAGCTGCCATTACAGACATAAGTCTTAAAGCCTGCAGTGAAACATGAGAACCAGATTATGTTTTTCATGGATGAGCATTATAAATAAGCTCAGACACCCTAGAAGTATTGTGATACTGATTAGCTGAAAAATGTCATCTCTAAATACCCCTAAGCGTGCTTCTCTAGTGATTGAGCGCATATCCTCATCTCCCATCCATGTCCTTGGCATCAAATCCCTATCATGGCTCAACACAGTGAAAAACCACAGATAATCCAATCATATTAGGTACAAAATATATGAACACTCATTGTAGTAGGACATGAAAACTGACATTGCATTATCCCTTTTCCATTTCCCTTCAAATAACAAAAAAAGAGCAAATTCTACCTTTCTTTCATGCACATCAGAACGTTTCCAGCTTCTTCTCTAGCTTTCATTTCTACTACGCTTCTTGCATGTTCCTCAAGTCTGAGACCATCTTACTGCAAATTGTCTGGTCTAGTTCAAACTCAGAAAGGGAGGCTGAGAATGCAAGAGCAGCATTTTCAGTCTCACGCCTATATAGTCTCCTAATGCATGCCCAGGAGTCTCTCTTGCCAGTTTCCAGTATTGATTGTACAGGCCCAGCAATTGCGTCTGACAGCTTCTTCTGCAATATGCAAAATGGTAAAAGGTCAAAAGATATGGATGGAATGTTCTGAATTGACCATGACATTTAGAGGTTGTAAAATCATGAAAGTAACCTCATAGTTAGCTTTCAGTTCTGCCAATTTTGCGTTCCTAATAGATTCTACATGAGCTTGTATATGCTCTTGCAGTTTATTCCTAGCTTTTGAAGCATCACACTGCACATGTTTAACTGCTGTATCTGCATAAAAAAGAACTAGGGCCTGAAATCACTGAATTGTAGATTGTCAAATATAAGAGATACATAATATCATATAAGCTGTCTGCATGTGTATTCCTCACTTCATTTGCTCAGTTCTGAACAAACCAAGTAGCGGTGAAGGGATAAGGCAGACCAAAAAAGAGAGACAGAAAAACAAAAACTGCTGTTTGTTGCCACTGCCTTTTACTCTTATTGTGGCTGCTAACTTTGTGCTCTTGCTATCGACCACTGCAGTGCTGTTATGTGGGAATGTCTCTTATGGTCCTTCCATAGGTCACGGTTCAGACCCTCATTGCCCATATATTTTTATGGTTACAACTAGCCAGGTTGGGCACTTCATATGCACTTGCATATGCATGGTCTGTGCCTTTGGGACCGTCCGTCTATTCCTGTTCCTTCCCCGAGCTTATGATACCTGAGAAAGCTACTCTGTAGTACATGACGAAGCTTGCTACAAAGGGTTTTCTGTATGTAGTGCTATTCTATTCATAACAAGAATCATCCATTCCAGGAGGACACATGATACAACAAAGGACTCCAGGAGCCTAGGATTGCACTAATGGTATATTGTCCACCAGAAGATCAACAAAATCTTATTGTAGACCTTAATTATTTTTTTTAGGAAACAGGAGGGGTAGCCCCCTGCTGGTTAATATACATCAATAGTAGAAGAAAAAAGAGGTGCAGTAGCGGTTGTTCACATACCTCTTATTCCAGCATCAAACTCTTCCACTGAAGCTTGAGAACACTGACGAACTGATTCTGCAAATCCTCTCTGTGTTCTTAATGATTGTTCCAGATCACTTTTGAATTTGTTAAGAGCCACAAGATGCAGGTGCTCCATTACTCTCTCGATAGCAGGATATGTGTGCTGCAAAACACGACTTTTCTCATGACACACTGAGATAAAAAGGCCAGCTACAAAGAAGATGAAACAATCCACCAACTACCAAAGAAGTTGTAACAACAAACATCCGGTTTATAACATTATATCAGCCAGAACTATGTATGCATCAGTGCATAGGAACTTAGAAGCGCATGATAAAAAAAAATTTATTTACTAAAAGCACTGAGTGTTTGCAGTTTGCACTAAGATGACAGTGGTTGGAACATATACTCAAATATATCAAATAATAACTGAGAGATAAAATTTTCATGAACCACTGATTCTTAAGCAAACTTAGTAATAGTCCTTGAGCTTGACCATGGTCCTCTCAAGCATATAACAAATAAAATCATCTAGGATAAAACTCTCAAATCAGGGGTTATTTTTGATCATTTGGAAATGAGTTACTCACATCTAGCATTGAAGATTGTAATTGTTGCCGCTTAGCAGCTCTTACACCTTCATCAAAATACATGGTTTCCATGTCATACCTGCAATAAAATGGTACAATAACTTGTCGCATCGGTTTACAAGCAACAATCAGATTAATTCACGAGAACTCAGCATTTTGCTTAGTGTTATCCAGGACTAAAAATATGATCAGTCACCTCAGATATCAAACACTCTACTCCCAGTTATTGAGAATTTGCATGTCTCCAGTATAGTTTAAATTATTTCAACACGAAGAGGGTAGAGCACTTAATCCAGTACCAGTATTAACACATTGGAATTCATAGGAGTAACAAAGGGAGAAAAAGGAGGGCCATTATAAGAAAACCAGTAATTAGATCAACTTATTGTCAGATACCAACTTAGTTTCCATATAGACAGTCCACGATTAAATGTCAAACAGCATGAAAATGCATCAGCATTTTGTCTCAATACTCAAGAGAATGAACTGAAGCAGGTAGTTAAATCTAGCAAATTCATGTTTTGAACACACAGATTCATGGCAGCCACTGTGTTTATCTTAACTTTCTAAGAGAAAATCTATGATGATAATTACTTAGATCACCCACTCTGATAGATAAGAGTCAAGAATAGCACTGAGCTTTGTTCCAAGCTTGGTGGCAAACCAGATTTACAACTGCATCTAGCTCCAACCAACCCTGCAGAGCAGAATAATTCCCATTCAGCCAATCAAACAAATACAGTAATACAGAATGACATAAGAACATTGTCACCTTATCAGACAAAAAGTTTTTGAGCTTTTCATTTGCAATCTCTTCACATCGAACAGTAGCAACCATGACCTAGACAAAATACAAGAAAAGTTACATTTCAAATATAGAGTGTCGACATGTCCACACACACAAATTATTACTATTTAGTTTTGTAGCATTGATGGCAAATAATGGCACAATAACCTTGTGAGCAGGAAGGTTGAGGTCCTTATTTTCACGTATTACTTTCCAAATCTGCAGTGCACTGAGACAGAAGCCTGAAGCAGGTACCACACCTCTTCTATCAGCTGCAAGACCACCTAGTGCAATTGAATGATAAAACCTCTGCCTTAGTTGTCCAACCTGCAAGGAAAAAAATATATGACATAGTACAGTAAAATGTCTTCTGTATCATTAAATCATTAAAGTGAAATAAGGCATGCATAAATCTGAACTCATAAGTTCCACTGAAGATGAAAATTTCATAACAAATGCAATTTCATCCAATAGAGAAGAGAAGGAATGGGATACACTGAAGAGAGAGAAATAGAGTACTTGTACGTCCAGTCTACCTGCTCCTTAAATAGTTCTTTCTTCTCTTCATAACTCGATAGAGCAGTGACCTCCACCTTTATATTGCAGAAAATATGAGTCAGTTGATGCATGAAAGCCTTACTTTCAGAAAACTGATGCACCGACATTGAAGAAATCACTAAGCGCTGCTTCCTTGTAAGCCTCTGGTTTCTGAACAGAGTTCCATATCTGATAGAAAAAGACAGTGATTGATGAGAATTGCGACATGACAAGGAGGAAAGCAGGTAAGCCGATAATAAAGCATTGGCACCTTCTGAATATCCTCCTTGAGAGCTTGTGTTAGGTACTCTAGTGGAGTCTGCAAATACAGGAAAAAAAATCAGAGCACAAGAAAAGTCAAACAAACTGAAAATATCAAACTGCAGAAATAGAGAAAGAAACTGGACTCAGTCTCTGAACTGTACAAACCTTTGTTTTATCACGGATAACAAGTAGCAGTGTTGTCTTGCGATGAGGGCTGAATAAACGCATCAAGACCTTAATAAAGAGAGAAATGATAATAAATGACTGAACCTGGGAGAAAAGGAATACTGTCTCACTGTAAGAAGTATCACCTGAAATACTGTTTTCAAAAGAGGCCTGTTAGCAGCATGTTCTCGCCAATATCATGACACCACCTGCAGATCATATAATACTTAAATATCTCCCTTGCTCACCAAAATTTTAACTTTCAATTAAGCAGTAATATGTGAAATAGAAACTCACAAATTTATCATAACAATGTCTGAAACTGCAAGAGCAAACAGAGCGCTCTGCTTCTCGAAAGCTGTATCATCCTGCAAGAAGAAAACATTAGTATATGAGCGATAGATAACATTAGCAAAACCATAGTAATCAGTTGCCCATCAGTGGTAAACCTAAAACAAAAGAAATTCCATATTTGTGAAAACTATAAATGACTGGCTATGTATAATTTAAGTTGACGCAAGGAAATCTTTGCTCAACACAGAGAACGGGTATGATTAATTCAAACCAAACTAATTACACTAAAAATAATGGATGCTCAAATGAGTTGCTTGTATTCAGGCAGCCATGTGGTAAACTAGTGACTAACGTGGCGAAGGGACATGTATAGCTCGAAGCAACCAAATGCATTAATCACCCACATGGCATATTATTGGCAACATTATTCACAGTATAGTAGTCCTGAATCTTTAAGATCCTTAGTTCCTTACAGGATAATTAACAACGGCACTAATGTTGCATGTGAATCAATCCAAGTACTATTAATTGCTAAACACAGCCAATTTCTTCTTGACAGGTTAAATGCCATAGTACATAGCAAATCAGGTACTTGCAAATTGTAATTTGGCAACCCGTCAGCACATGATGCGTCATGGTAAAGCACAACGCACAAGAGAACACAAGAACATGCTATAGGGGGAGGACCAATAACAGTCAATTAGTAATGTCAGAACATGGAAAACACAATTTGATGAGAAAGAATAACACTGTTCGGGAACATTTAATAAGTTCAGAAATGGCTGCAAGTAGAACTTTCACCTGCCCTCGCTCCCTCCCGTCCGTCCCTCCAGGTCCAGCACAACAGTGAACGGCCTGATCCCAACAGCCTTGGCGATCCAAATGCCCTTGGTGGTCTGGTGCCTGGTGTCAAACAAAACGAGCAGCACATATCACACCAACAAATGCAGATGATGTAACAAGCAATGCTTCTGTACGTGCTCGGTGTTTGTTTACCTTCCTTTCAAGGCATCCATTTCCTGAAGCTTGTCCCGAAGAGGTGGTTGAGCAAGGTGCTTTTCCCTGGCCGGTGTACAAAGCAGCAGCCGTTAGAGACGGGCCCTGAATCTAATCCAACTACTACCAGGACAAAATTGCTAAATGAAGGAATCGAAATTGAAGCCTAGGAGAGCTCGACGATCATTACACGCTACTACATGGACGGGGAACCAATCAACTGTGCAGTAACAATGTAATATATTAAAGTAGACGCAAATTGGCAACGGCTGTAATTGTGGGGGAAAAAATTGGCCACGCCACGATAACCTGGATCATTCTCGATTCCTCACCGACCAAGCACCATGAGCAACTGACACCAGGGTAAGCTAAGACACAGACACGAGAATTTCATACGGGACATAACTGAATGTCTGAAACTCTGAATCCGTTCACTACGCCGACTCTGCACAAAACCCCAGCGAGGACCCCGCCGCAGCACCCATGTACCAGAAGCAGAGGGGAAGGGAGGGGGAGGCCGGAGGAGGAGCAGGGGAGGGGAGGATGACGCGGCTGACGTACGTACCGCTGCCCTGGGGCCCGAGGATGGAGACGACGGCGTAGGAGAGGCCCCGCCCCCGGAGCCCCGCGGCGGCGGCGAACCGCTCCATCGCGGCCGCGTCCATCTCGCCGTCCGCGCCCACCACCTGCGCCGCGTGGCACTCGCCGCCGACTCCGACGACGCCCCCCGGCGCGTCCATCGATCCCCACTCGCGGACTCGCCGGAGAACCGAAGCGAAGCAACCCACAAGTTGCAGGCTTGCAGCAGAGCAGAGGCGCCCGCCGCGATGGCGAGCGAGAGAAGGAATGAGAGGCGCCGAGCAGAGAGACAGGTGTCGCGTTGCGCGGCTTGCGCCGCTATTGGGGTTTATACGTGGGTTTACGGAAGGAATAGGAATGGAAACGGCGGACGGGCGACCCACCAAAAGCCGGAAGTAAAGATGACAACGGATATCCGATAGGTTTTTACTTTATTACTTTATTAGGCAAAATTTTAAAAATCGACGATTACGTCTCGCCTAGGCGCGCCTAGTCGCTAGGCTATGGCCTGGCGCATGGACTAGGGGGGTAATCGCCCCTCTAGGCGGGCAGAGCGACTAGGCAGAGCTAGGCGGCGCCCAGGAGCCCTAGGCGGCGCGGAATCGAGCTAAGCGGGCGACGCGGGCCATCGTGATGCGAAAAGAATGGCTCACGGCGAAAGGCAAGAGAGCTCCAGCGCTGAAAAGCCGCAGGTCTGCCGTGACCGAGAAGGATAAGGGGGAGAAGGAAGAGAAAGCCAGATCGCCTCGACCTCGACCTCCACTTGGAAGCAGGTCCGCCTGCCGGCGCCGTCACTGAAGATATCCCGCCGGGCGAGCCTCTCCTCACTACCGGGTAAGACCTGGCGGGCGACGCCGCCCCGCCGGTCTCCTTCCTCCTCGACGAGCTCCTCCCCGCTGGTCGTGCTCCTCCTCACGGGAAGCAGGTCCCCTTGCGCTGCTCGCCTGGAAGCAGATCCCGCCGACGAGCCTCCTCCCCGCCTCGGGTAAGACCCGCCGGCGACACCGCCTCCCCCGCGGGTCTCCTTCCTCCTCGACGAGTCTCGTCCCTCAGGTCGTGCTCCTCCTCGCCGGTCTCTTTCGCCTCATCGCGCCAAGCTCCTCCCGCCGGGTCTCCTCCCAAGGTCTCAGATGTCCTCCTCCCCCGCCTCCTCTGCTTCTTCCCCGCTTTGTCTGCTTGCAAACATATACACTGGCCTCCTCTGCTTTTCTTTCCCTGCAGCTTGTTCCTTTTTCCCGCTCTCTCTCCTCTCATTTTTCTGAAATATGAAATTGTTGAATGATTCCATGTATCTACTATGATGAATATGTGATATTGTTGACTGCATCTGCATGTATATATATATATATATATATATATATATATATATATATATATATATATATGTGTGTGTGTGTGTGTGTGTGTGAATTTGTTGACTGATTGGCGATTGCATGTATGTTTGTAATTTGTTGATTGATGGCTTGAACTCAGATGACAGGAACAGAGGGTCAATTTGAAACTGCAAGGTATGTTTACCGGTTCTTCCCTATTTTTTATCTAAATTATTAATGATTTGTGCTATAAATGTATATATTATATATTGATATATAAATATAAATTGGCAAATCGTCTAGAAAAACGCCTAGCATCGCCTAGGCTAGCCTAGGCTGGACTAGTCGCTAGGCTAAGGGTCATCGCCTAGATTTCGCCTAGCGCCTAGCAAAACTTTGTTATTAGGGTAATGATATGGGTCAATTTCTCTACCATGAGTTTACTAATGTCTGAAAAATCTGACCCAGCTGATTTGTAGGCGTGGGTCGAAGATGTAGTATCCAAACCTGTGAACCCATGGGTTTTTTAAACCCAGTTATTATAACAGCTAGCACTATGCTCCTCACCTATTCTTTGGTTGGGCCTTGACAAGGAAATAGGCCCAAGTAACATTTGCTTCCATTCCATTTGTCGCACAGAGCAGGCTGCACTTAGTCTCATATCACCAAGCCAGGGAAGAGAGTTGAGGAGGTAGAGCATTTCCTTGCGAATGAATTTTGTATGATGGTTGATGATAGAATGTTCCATTCATCCATATTTTTGTTTCAAGGTTTCAACTTTTCAAGAAAAGCATGGGAGTACCTAATAACACAGGGAGTGACGGAGACGTCGAGCTAGTAGTACTGGAACTGTTGTCGTAGGTACTAAAGAAGTTGCGCCTGCGCCCTGCGTGACCGCTGTCCGCTGCGCGTTTTTGTAATGTGGAATAGAAAAATTCGCCCAGCTCGGCGATCACTTTAAGATCGTGCCTTTGCTATTTGTCGTAAAGATACGAGGGCCCATTTGTTTATGACTTCATCTGTGAAATAGCAAAGCCTTCAGACCATTTCGGGGCATCTCAATGTTGGGCTGGTTTCTATTCGTTAGGCCCGACCATAGGAGGCCTTATCTGATATTACCATGTTAATGCTGGGCTGCTCCATGGTTAAGAAGAATCGAGCGGGGGTGTTTTGTCTGGGCTGCTAAACTTTAGTCCATTTAGTTACTTTTTACCCAAACATATGAACTAAATGGGATTTTGTATTTGAATTTGAATTGTATTTTAATAAGTAAAAGAAGTCAGTTAATTCATTAAGGCTATGTTTATACCGTGTATCAATGGTCAATTATGAGTTAGTCACCAAGGGGAGCTAAACTAGACTAAAAGTCAGGCTGCCTCACCTTTTAGTCACTTTATAGCCAAACACCCTGACTAAAAAGAACTAAAAGGCATCTTTTAGTCTTTTTAGTCCACCAAACCAAATAGGGGTGACTAAAGTTTAGCAGTTGGTTTAGCTGGCTAAAATTTAGCAGCTTCAATACAAACAGGGCCTTAGTCCAAATTTCCAAATATCTCGAGGCTTAGTATTTTAGGGGGTGTTTGGCAGGACTTCTCCTGAGGGGTTCCTCCAAATGAGCTAGAGACGTTTTGGTGGTTCCTCCAAAACGGCTGCAACTCCTTTGTTTTTACTGAAAAATGGCTCATTCTACAAAACGTTGGGTAGGTCTTTTTCGTCGGAGCTAGAGCCAGAGCTGGGGAAGAGCCCTACTAAACAGGCCCTTACCTTAGTTTCACTCGGTTTTTAATGACTTTTTATTTGAGGTGATTGGGGGCGAAGATATTGGAAGAGGCAACTTGAAGATCTTTTGTGAGGAAGGGTCATAGTCATAGGTAGGCAACCTGTTGCAAGAATCATATTCATATATCTTGTCTACAATGACAGTACCACTGTTCTGAGATACAAGCTATATCCTAAGTTTGTCTTAAAGTTAAAATATCTTAAGCTCAACTAAAAGTTTATAGAAAAGAACAAAATGAGCATAACTATTACAGGAGAACTAGATGTTTAATACACTGGACACGTAAATCTTTTGTGTGGAGAAAAAAAAAGAGGAGGACATGATATGAGAGAGACCTCACTAAACACACGGGACGAGATGTGGCTGTCACCAAATCAAGTCGATCAGCATGAATATGAGGGCTCTTCAGAGCAGTGCCAGCCCTTGGGGTAGGGCACGGGGTGCGACAGCCGAGGACCCAAGTGGAGGAGGGGCCTAAGCCCAGGTATACAAATCCTCAGGTTCTATAGTCCATTAGGCATTAGCAAACTAATAAGAAGAGAGACATAGAACTGGCCAGGCGGCCCAAAAAGACAATATCGGCATTTCTTTCCTAGTTTCCTTTCCTCGCGGCCCTCGGGTAGAGAGAAGGCGAGAAGTCACGCTGCACACAGCACACTCTGATCGTGAGTTCGCGACGTGCGTCTTACACACACGGAGCTGGCGAGCCGTGCCGCTGCGAAGAGCTAGACTACCGGAGACACAAACACGGCGCACGAGGACGGCGACTAGGCAGGGCTTCACGACGACGATATCTTGATTCTTGGCTTCTTAAGAATTGCGATCACCGATCATTTGTTTAGGTCCAAAGTATTTTTTCCTTTTTATTTTTAATCCAAATTAATTATTTGTATAGTATTTCGACTTCTAGTACTTTGTACCCATATAGTCATATTTTTCTTCTAATTTAGGTGTTAGAATTTTAGACTGTTACCTAAGAAACATTTGTCATGGGTAAGAAAAGAAAACGAATATATTGCTTTTTTAATCTACAGTGTTTCTCGATAATTATCATACATCTACAAATATATTGCTTAATCTACATTGTTCCTCGTTAATTATCAGACATGTTAAATTAAAAATATGTTATTGAATTTATTTTTGTTTTGCAAGTAAAATTAACGTCTATATATTATAAGATTTTATACATAATCGAGGCCGTTGCAACAAGATCATCAAAGGGCCCTTAAAATCCTAGGACCGCCACTGCTTCAGAGCATGAACTGCTATGCAATGTTTTGTACAAGCCGAAACGGTCCCTTGTCTAGAAGCTAGCTAGGACAAGGAGTCGGTTAAAAATCACTTAAAAAATACTCGCTCCATCTAAAAAACCGCAATTCAAACCTGAACTAAAAAAAGCATAATTTGGCTGTGTTTAGTTCGCGATTTTTGGAAAATTTGATTACTGTAGCACTTTCGTTTTTATTTGGCAATTAGTGTTTAATCATAGACTAATTAGGCTCAAAATGTTCGTCTCGCAATTTCCAATCAAACTGTGCAATTAGTTTTTTTTTCGTCTACATTTAATACTCCATGCACGTATCGCAAGATTCGATGTGATGGCTACTGTAACACTTTTTAAGAAACTTTTTGGAACTAAACAAGCACTCGAACGTGAACAAGCTTTTATTTTTTTTTTTACGGAAGGAGTATATCACACACCGTGCGGGCTGATCATCGGCTGCGGGCGGCGGGCGGCGGGCGGCGGGAGGCGGGCGGCTGAGCTGTGGTGCAGTGGTTTTGTTGTTGCGCCGTTTTCGAATTGCGTCGCGCCTTGCGTCTGGAGTTTTGGACGTACTGTACGTTTGGCTGGGCCTTGTCAAGTCTGACAGAACGCGCGGGAGCTTCGCTGCGCTGCATGCGCTTGGACCGCTTCAGCGCGCTGCAAGCTGCATGGGTGCACGGGCCGATTGATCCCAGCTCGTGAGCGGTGCAAGCTGTTTGGTTCAGAGTGGCAAAAGGTTGCCTTGGTCAGGTGCTGAATTTTGATGGTCTTGAGTACCTCAGGTATCTTTATTTACAATGATACACAAGCCAACAATAGTTAAATAAATAATGACGATGCTCTCAATCTTCAAATTCGTTGCGTCATGCTGTTCTCTAGAGATGAACGAACAAGGCCGGGCCAGCTAGGTAAGGTGTGTTTGATATGGTGGACGAGGTTAGAAATGCCTAGGTGCGTTTGCGGGAGAACATATATAGTTCGCTTGTGAACGAAAGCAAAATACAGCCATCCATTTCTACGTGCATGTTGCACGAGGAACGTGGATAGAGCCCTCACTTCGGGTGTAATGTATGATTGATCCAATTGATTCCAGGGGCCGTAGGCCGTAGCGAGCTCCGCTGACGCGCTCACTGAGGCCGGTGCCGAATGCCAAATCTCCTCGTCGCCGTCGACGTCGACGTCAGGCAGGTCCGGAATAGCAAGCAATATCCCCCTTCCGGGCTTTGGAAATCGGCTCGCGCTTTCCTGGTACCTTCCTCAGGCGCCCGCGGTCCGCCCGGTCCAGCACGCCGCGCCCCACGGCGTCGTCTCCGCGGATGATCGTCTTCCACCTCTCTCCACCCGCGTCTTTCCCCGGGCTGTATATATAACCAAACCAAGTTCACCCGGAGACTAGAAATTTCGCCGTAATACCACAAAAACACATCCACCAGAGCGGCCGCTACCGCACGCGCCGGAGGCAGAAGAGAGCATCAGGGGCCGGCCGAGGCCAAGGCAGGCAAGAACCTCCTCCGTCGGGGCAGCAGAAGAGGAGGAACAGCCAGGAGCTAGCGGAGGACGATGCTTCCGGGCGTGGAGCTCGCGCGGCGGCGGCGCGTGCACTACCACGGCGACGTGGCGTCGTCGTCGGCGGAGCACCACTACTACGCGCACGGCCACCACGCGGCGCCCGCGCCGACGGGCGTGGCGGGGCCCGCGCTCGCGGCGCGCATCCGGCTCGAGGAGAAGCTGCGGGGCGCCGCGCTGCCGCCGACCTCGCCGTCCAGGTCGGTTGACTTGCCTCTCCCTCCCTCCCTCCCTCTCTCCTCTGCTTCCTCCCCTGTTCTGCATATACGCACGCCTCCGTTGGGAAGACGAGAGAATCTTTTGAAAAGATGGGAAAGGAAAAACATGAGCGATTATCGAAAGATGAAGCGATTGGACAAGAGCAGCATAAGATACAGGATCGCCCTGTTGATTACGGCACCATAAAACCTGCGGGGAGTTCGATTGCAGCATCGGAGATGCATCATCAATCACGGGAGTTGGCTTCCTTGTTTGTTTGCCTGCTGTCTCAACTCTGAATTATTGCGTGATCACTACTAGTAGAAGCTGAGTATGTACTAGTAGAGATCACTACACAACACCCGCAACCGAAAGGGATGGCCCTGTTTCTCCGAGAAAATTCTCGTTTTCCCCGAGTTCTCGTTGAGCCTATCTTTTCTTTTGTCGATACAAACCGGTTCTCTCTCTTTCGTCGATCGATCTCAAATTCCCAATTTCCCATGATGCGCTGCGTGGTACTCCAGTCCAGTTCTAGAGGATTGTAGAGCGGTAGTACCATACTAATGGCAACTGCCAAGTGGACGATGGAATCTTGCATGTGGCGCGGTGTGGCCTGGCTTTTCCGCTCACAAAACAAGAAAGTCGAGTCAAAAGAAAACGCACACTTATTGTCTTTTGATTTGAGTTGTGTGATTGTGTCCTAACCTGCTCCTAACTAACAATCGGCGCCTGAACCAAACGCAGGTGGAGCAGGCTGAGGGCGACCCCGAGGCACCCTCCGAGCACCAGGCGGCGAGACGAGCAGCAAGACGTTGTCCCGGCGACCGGCGCCGAGCCCGGGCCCGAGTCCTGGCGGCCGCCGGCTCCCGACCCAGCGGCCCTGCTGCAGGCGGCAGCGGCGGATATGCCGGCGTCGACGCGGCGCCAGCGCCGCGCGGAGCTGACGCGGACGCTGTCCAAGGTGGACGTGTGCGCGGTGTGCCTGGACGAGGTCCGGGAGGAGCGGCGGCAGCGGGTGACGCGGCTGCCGTGCTCCCACAAGTACCACTCCGAGTGCGTCCTCCCCTGGCTCGCCATCCACCCGGACTGCCCCTGCTGCCGCGCGCTCGTGCCGTCCGCCGACACGCTCGTCCACCAGGTCTAGCTCCAGCAGGGGGCTTGGGGCTAGCTGTTGTTGGCATTGTTGCTGCTCGCGGGGCTCGTGGTGCTGACGCCATGGGTCTTGTCTCTTCCTCTGCCGATGGCCGGCCCTCGGGGCTTGTTCGGTTGGTCGACTGAAGCTGTTTTGCTGCGAGAGAAAAATAATGTAAATTCTAACTGATAAGTCAGCTGATAAGTTCAAGCGATTTCGGCTTGTTTGTAACGTAGTAGTTTGTTTCTTGATTTTGACGAACATTTGTATTGTTAGCTGGCAGCTGCAAAGTTTTTTTTTTAAAAAAAATTGGCTGCGAAGTTTGTAGCATACTGAGAAAAAATTATAGATGGCTTGGTAGCTAGTAGTGGCCTAGTAGAGCATACAGACAAGGGAGACGAGCTCTGGACCTCTGGTGCTGTGTTTGTATTCAAATCCGGAAATCCCCGTGAATTACACGAGCTGTGGTAAGTTGATAGTACGGTTGAAAAAGGTTTCACATTTTTTTTGGGGGGTTCAGATGCCATTCCTGCTCCTCCTGAAGGCTCTTGCTGTTCCATGATTTGTAGTGCTCCTGAACTGCTAACAAATGGCGTCCTCTTGGGGTATGGTATTTGTGTTTTTGTTTTCCACTTCTTTTTCCCTGATTAGCTAAGAATTTAAAAATGGCGTGCAAATGACAGTTTTGATAAGTCGTCTAGGGAAAAAATGGACTAGTGGCCACATAAAAGACTGAAGTTTTACTAGTGTTAAACAAACACACACATATTTTACTATCAAACTATGGAATTTTACAGTTTTTTTGGTACATAGGTGAGAGGGAGGATAAAATCTTGGAGTTTTATTTGTGCACACGTGCTATGTATGAAGACATAACTTATAATTTGAAATTTGTCTAAAAACACTTAAAATTCGAAATGAAGAGGCACTCTTTTTTTCCTTTCGAAATTAAAAGGTACTAGTCACTACTCTCGTGTCTGCTTTATTGAAGCATCGTATATAGAATTATTACAATTAATCAGAAACGTGCGCGCGGCGACGGTGGCCACGAGCGCCGCGTAGGCAAGGAAAAGGCGGAGCTGGCGGCGGTGGCATGGAAGCATCAGCACCAACGCCCCTGCGGAAGCCGTGCCACACCAAAGCATCCCGGCCGGCGGCCGGTCATGAGGGACCATGGCACGGTGGCCTCGGCGTCCGTCACGAGGCTGCACGAATAGGAATAACAGGAAGACGCGCGGGTGCGCGCGGGCGATGTCGTAGCGGACGACGACATGGCCGCGGCGGCGGCACAACCAGTAGAAGGACGCGCCGACGTAGATCGATCCCCGAGGGGCGAGGAGGCGACGCCGAGGCGTCGTGCCGTGCCCTGCGTGCCAGGCACGTTCGTCATGTCCTGCCTGCCAGTCTCGGATGACGACAGGATCCCGACGCCGTGTCCGCATGCAGGAAGTCAGGAACTGGCAAACAGCAGGCTGACGGGCGGAGGATTGCAGGAGCAGCAGTTCGCTTGATGGCTGTGTTACCGACTACACGAGTTCAGCTATATATTGATAGGGTAAGTGGAACAAGGTCTCGGAACACTGGCGACTCGCCGTGCCCGCCGCCACCATCGCCTGCCGGCACGGTTCAGGAAATATGACCAAGTCGAGTTTTGCCTTCTCAGGCAAGGGTACAAGATGGAGCCGTGTGAGCTTTCCCTTCCGAGTTGGGACACACAGGGCCGTTGTTCAATTCACCCAGTCTGGCCCATATATTGAGTGTTCACCTTCTTGGTCCTTTTGGACCGCTCGGCCCATCCCGCTTCCACTTCCTTCATTCCTGCGCCACCTTCAGGTTCTTCAGATGCCGTAGCAGAGGTAGGTGGTCTTGCGACGGTGACATCTCCCCGATCTTGAAAACCAGCTTGTCCCAAAGCTGGTGCACGAGGGAACTGTTGGCGAAGCGGAGCTTCATCTTCCCAGGTGTCCAGCGCAGAGGGCGGATCGGACCAGCGGACCAGCACTTGAGGCGATAGTGTCGTTGTACTGATGCAGGCGACGACCGAGGATAGCGATGGGTACCTTGTAACTCATTAGTAGCATCAGAAATAATGGAGCTTACTGGTGTTGATGGAGGAACAACCGTCTTCAGTTGTGAGATGTGAAATACTGGATGGATTAGACAACCATCTGGGAGCTTCAGTCTGTAAGTTGACTGACCAATACGCTCAATGATGCTGAAAGGCCCAAAAAACCGAAATGCTAACTTGTTCGATGATCTAGGAGCCAGAGAAGTTTGAACATATGGTTGTGCCTTGAGGTAAACTTGTTGGCCAACCTGGAACACACGATTAGAGCGCCGTTTATCTGCTTCATTCTTCATCTTGTGTTGGGCTCTTATCAGATGCTGGCGAACTAATTCTTGCATAAGTTCACGTTCCTCCAGCCAATTCTACAGATCACTCTGTTGACAGGACTGAGAAATGTCCACTCCAAAATGTCTGCGTTCATGACCATAAAGAACCACAAAGGGACTCTTGCCAAGAGATGAATGGAAAGATGTGTTGTACCAATACTCAGCAAGGGACAACCATTGAGACCAGCGAGTTGGACAAGCATGGACAAAACACCTTAAATAGGTTTCAAGACATTGGTTAACTCGCTCGGTTTGGCCATCGGTTTGGGGGGTGGTAGGCACTGCTCATTTTGAGATCTATGTTTAAAAGTTTGAAGAGCTCCTGCCAGATGTGGCTGGTAAATACTTTATCTCGGTCTGAAACCATAGCAGGCCATGAAGTTTAAAGACATTGTTCATATAGAGGACAGCAACTTGGAGAGCTGTAAATGGGTGGGCAAGGGGTAGGAAGTGAGAGTATTTGGAAAATTTGTCAACAACCACAAGAATGCAGTTGTAGTTGGAGGATTTGGGAAGGCCTTCTATGAAGTCTAGTGTAACAAGTTGCCAAGCCCCTTTGGGTATGGGAAGTGGTGCTAAGAGTCCTGGATAATGTTAGATAATCCACTGCCACCTTGTGTGAACACAGTAAGGGAAGGCGGCGCTGAAAAGGGCTCCCTGCTGTGATACTGTAGCCGCTGCAGATGTGGGCGCCGCACGGCTCACCTGTAGCACTGTAGGTACATGCAGTGGCCGGCGCAGAGTCAGCCCTTTATGTTATCTAGTCACTGTTACAGCAGGGCAGCTGTACTGGGACTAGAATGATAGAGTTGTATAAATAGGCTACCACGGCAACTCAGTAAAGAGAGTTCAGACTTGCCATCTTATAAACAGGGCTCCGGCCAACGCTGGTGTCTCTGCCGTGTGTGTATACTCTGTTCTTCCTTCTTCTTCAAGCTCTAGTCATAGTGTGTGTGCTCGGACAACGCCTGTTCGTGGTCGGTACAGCTAGTGGGTGCTCGGCAACACTAGCGGGTGCTCGACAAGATCGGTTGAGTGGGCAACTCCCGTGAGCCGGTGATCCTGTGGGCCAACAGATAAGCTACTCTTTCTGTTTTGGCTTGTTGGCATGTGGTACACTGTGCAACATAGGATTTGACAGTATGTTTGAGTTTTGGCCAAGCAAAGAGTTGCTTAACCCTCTTGTAAGTAACCTCAAACCCAGAGTGCCCACCTATAGCACTAGACTGCAAGCTAGAAAGGATTTTGGTGTGTAGGGAAGGGTTGTTACCAATCCATAGTCGACCCTTGTACCTGATGAGTCCATCTTGCAGAGTATGAAAACCAACAGTTGGTGTGATAGATAGTTGGGACAAGAGATGGGCAGCTTCAGGATCTTGATGATATGAGTCCTGAACTTCCTGGAGCCACACTGATTTGATAACTGACAAGGCAGAGATATCATAAGATGTTGAATGTTGAGCTCTTGAAAGTGCATCAGCCACCTTGTTGTCACAGCCCTTCTTATAATTGATCTTGTATGTCAGACCCATAAGTTTTGTGAGAGCTTTGTGCTGCCATGGAGTTGATAGCCGCTGATCATCTAAGTGTGTCAAGCTCTACTGATCAGTTAAGATGGTAAATGGTGCAGTTTGCAGATAGTGACACCATTGGTCAACTGTCATAAGAATGGCAAGCATTCTTTCTCATAAGTGGACAAACATTGAGCCTTCTTACCCAAAGCTTTACTAGCATAAGCAACTGGGTGACCTTGCTGCTGGAGGACAGCTCCAATTTCTTTAGCAGAAGCATCAGTCTCAACCACAAAGGTTTGAGAAAAATCAGGTAAGGCCAAAACTGGTGCAGTAATAAATGCTTGTTTCAATGCTTGAAAGGAAGAATCAGTAACAGAGGTCCACAAGAACAAAACTCCTTTCTTCAACAGACTTGTGAGGGGTTTGCTAATGAGCCCAAAGTTAGGAACAAATCTCCTATAATAGCCTGCCATGCCCAGAAAGCTCCTGAGGTCTTTGTGATTTTGGGGTTAAGGCCAATCCTTGATAGTGGCAATCTTGGTTGGGTCTGTAGCTACCCCTTGGTTACTGATGATGTGACCTAAATAGGTGAGCTGCTGCTTGGCAAAAGAGCATTTGGACTTTTTGAAATGAAACTTGTGTTGCTGGAGGATGGTAAGTACAGCAGTGATGTTCTAAAGATGTTCCTCCCAAGAACTGTTGTAGATCAAAATATCATCAATAAAGACAACAACACACTATCTGAGCAAGGGTGCCAGGATAGCATTCATAACTGTTTGAAATGTAGCAGGGCCTCCTGTAACACCATAGGGCATAACTCTATACTATAAATGTCCATGGTGTGTCTGAAAAGCAGTCTTATACTCCTTACCCTCAGCCATTCTGATTTGGTGAAATCCAGAGCAAAGATCTAAGGAAGTGAACCAAGATGACCCACTCAATTCATCTAGTAACTCTTCAATAACAGGCAATGGGTATTTATTTTTAATGGTATGAGCATTGAGGTGTCTGTAGTCAACACAGAGGCGCCAATCTCTTGTCTTCTTTCTAACCAGCAAGGCAGGAGAAGAAAATGGCTTGTGCTAGGTTGAATCCACCCCTTGT